CTGACATTTCTAGCAATCAGAAAAGTGGAGGGCATCTGGGTGTCAAGATTATTCTGCATGCTTGTGTGTGTGCGTGTGTGTGTGTGTGTGTGGAGAAAGGGAGGTAAATCTCAAAGTGGATGTGAGGAAGTTTTCTTTTTTTATTTCTATGCTTCACCTTTTATACAACTTTCAGAATTTTTAAAAAAAAATACTTTATTAAATAAAATAGAATACTATTAAATCAAACTGCTTTCAAGAGTAGTGATAGTAGTAGCAATGACAAGGTAATTCACACATAATCTCAAAAGATTAAATGCATTTTAATTCTTAATTAATAAGGCAGCTATCAAATTCATCAACAAAACATTCTAAGTCAATTCTCTCGGCTTGAGAATTTTTAATTGACAGTAGTGCAATGTTACTCAGAAATGTTTTTACTAATTTCATTTTTGAGAAACACCTTTCACTTGAAATGCAGGTTACTGAAAGTGTCACAGTGTCAAACACTAAGTTGTAAAAGCAGTCAAATGCTGCTTTATAGGGACATATGAATGACTGACGGAAATGTATGATCGTTCATAGTTATTGACACTCTTTCAGTAGTAGTTTTCTTACAAGAGAAATTTCATGTTTCAAATAATTTCCATTGACTGCGTATGCACCTGCAAATATCATTAGGTTTTTAAACAAAAAATGCATGTCCTTGAGGACATAAAGAGCAACAATACACTGAAAAATTACAGAGGAATCTTTTGAGGAATAACTAATACACTTATAAAACAGTCTCGAAGTTTTAATCATATGTAAATAGATGACTTGATTAAGAACTTCACCCTTGACCAGTGGATTCCAACACAATGAATTAATTAAGCTGTTTTGCTATTTAAATGTTGAATTTCTTACAGAGTTCATAAACCTTATCAGAGTAAAAATTAAGTTAATGTTTTGAATATCATTTGTTTCATAGCTTCATGGAGTAATAAAATAAGTTTGGCTGCTTTTTTCCTAAATCTGCTTGCTTATCCTGCAGCTGCTCTGATAATTCAGTAAACACTAAGAGGTGAATAAATTCTGCATCTATTTGAGCAGAAATAAGCTTCTATGGAAGTCTTCTCCTTATACATTTAAGGTGCAACAAAGCATTTTTACATGGAGGTGGCTCAACACCATCATCTCATATGTCACTAAGATGATGCAGTATTCATATATGTTCTTTAAGAAACATTTCTCACTGTATGTTAATAAATTTCTTATGAACAGAGTTACTTTTGAAAATAAACTGTTGTTCTACATATGGAAGAATTCAGCAGCTTCAGGAAATTTTTTCATAACATCAATTAAGACCAAATTAAGTGTGTGTTTATAACAGTGAACATAATAAGTAAAAGGAACTTTGTTATAGATGCATTTTTGAACATTGCTCAATCTTCCTCTCATGACTGATGCACTATCATATGTGGTCAGTTAGAAAATATAAAGCAGGAAATGAACAGGTTAAATGTTAATATTTTAGGCATATGTGAAATGAAGTGAGCAAATAATGGAGATTTCATCAGTGACAACAGCATCATATATGCAGATCGAGAGAAAAATTAAATGAGGATTAAGACTGATATTAAACCAAGACATGAAGAAATGTGTTCTGAGATAATATCCAAAAGATTTCTTGTTGTTAAACTGAAAGAAAAGCCTTTCAATATATCCATCATAGTTGTATATGCACCAACAGCACAAAGTAAAGAAGAAGAAACTGAAAATTTTAATGTATGCTAGACAACACCATGGCTTGATGCAAATTACAATCATCATAGGAGACCTGAATGCCAAAGTAGGCAAGGAAAGAGATGGTGAAATAGTTGGCAAATTGGGACTAGGAACTTGTAATGAATGTGGAGAAAATAAGTCCAATGCTGCACAGTGAATGATCAGATAGTAGCCAACACCTGGTTTCAAGAACATTCCGAATGTATAGGGACATAGAGAAGAAACAAAAAAACAAATCAACTACATAACTATCAATAAGAGACTCAGGAATTCATTTTTACACTGCAAAACATACCCAAGTATCAACTGTGGGAGCAACCACTTTCCAGTGATATGTAAACTTAGAATGAAACTACAGAAATTGAAAAGAGCCAGGGCAGCACCCTAAATTGTAATATGACAAACTCATGAATGACCCAAATGTGAAGGAAAAATATATGGACAGTGTTAAAAGCAGATACAGTGGAAAAATGTGAATGGAAACTTGAAGTGGGACACATTAAGAGAAGCTATAGTAACATCAGCAATTGAGATCATCCCAAAGAAGAATAGACAGAGAAAAAATTGAGGAAAGAAGGCTTGGAAAATTTGATACTCACAGAATAGATTGAAGGCAAAGACAGAGGAAAACAATGCATAATCTACCTAGCAAGCTTGAGTAAATGGATGGCAGAGCAAGGTTTAGTAGGGATAACAAAGGCAAAATTTATTAAGAGCTACAAAGGACAGGAAATTATGGAGAGTCATGATTTCCAAAATCCTGAAGGGACACGGAACATAGAAGAAGCTCTATCATCCTTCTTTTTTAGATGAACATACTCTTACAGTTTCAATATCTTCACCTTTTTTCATGAATATTTCTGATTATTCAATTATTTTGTTCTCTGTTGCACTGCATCTTATGTTCCCAAATTTATCCATGCCAGCTTTCATAATGATAGAAACATTAACACAGCTATTTCTACCAAAACCCAATTCATATTGAGATTTTAAACAAAGGATTTGTAGATTATTATCCACCTGGAATCTTCTATCTTACCAATCTTTAGATTTACTTATCAAAGAAAATCATACATCTAATACTCAATTTCAGTTTGAGGTTTGGGCAGTAAAAGTTTACTCAAATTTCAAGTCATTAAAAAGACATTTGCATATTTTAGAACTTATGTTTCTCCTGTCTGTTTGGCTAATCTTTAAAAATCCACATCCAAGGGAATCATACTTTTTGCTCTTAATAATCTTGAAGATTAAATTTTGCATAGTTTTCTTAAGCTACTCATATTTCATTTTGGTCAAGCAATGAAATTTTCCTAAGTTCACAGCCCTTCCCTTAAGCAAGGTATGCACTGTCCAGATACTAGCTTTACCTACCTCTCTCCTACTGGCTGACCATTCTTTGTATAACAGTTAAATGATGACAAAATTGTTCTCCTTTCTCCTGTGTGCTATAGAAAATGTACATTTTGTAAATTAAATTCTTTCTTAAAAGACAATCTGAATCATCATCATTCCTTTCTAGTCTTTTTTTGCTTTTGTTGTGGTTTTTTTTTAGCTTTAGTTATTGTGACATATTTCACATAAAAAATCCATTTTTGATTAGAGGTAATATCAACTATTAAACAGGACTAACAAGCTTTATAGGAATTAACTATGGCTTGTTTTTTTTTTGTGGGAATTTTTTTTCCAGAAATCTAAGATTATTAAAATATATATCAACTACACTTCTGTATTATAGTGTATAAAACGGGGGGAGGGAGGGGCTTAGAAGATGGGGGTGATATAACCTCCTCTTCTCTCACATAGAATCACCAATGTAGTGGCAGAAATATTCTGATAAAGATAAAGAAACTGATCCACAATAATCACTTGAGGCTCTTGCTTGAAAATTATAATACAAACTCCTTTTATATAGTTCTTTACTTTCAAGAAAAAAAATTGTGCTTCTATTCCTCTTAATGATATTGACAGTTTAATACACAACAAAAATACAACAGCCCAAAATATCTACATGAAAAAAAGGAATGGCTGCATAAAGCACTAATATATGTGGAATACTTTTTAATAAGTCATTTATACTATACAATGTCAATTGCAAAAGAAAAAAGTTTCAAATTCTTAAGAAAAAAAAAAAAAAAGCTACATCTGATTTTCATTTTGGACACTGGAATTTTTAATGTATTTAACAACTGTTCATGTATTCTGTCCAGTGAAGAATTCTGCTTACGTGTCACCTCATGTGCTATATCATAATAATGCACAGACACTACAATATCAAATTTACAACCATAAAAATTAAACAGAAATGCACTTTTTCACCTTAAATTACAAGGCATATCTTATTAAAGAGTATTGGATCAAAAATGTTTAGACAGTACCAACATGTATTTAACATATATGTTCTCTTCTCAGCAGAAAAAAAACAATGGAAAATTATTATTAATTTTTTAAAAATTCATTGTCCTAACTATATAACGAGAGGTTTAACTTAAAGGTCACTGTAGTACTATTTTAAGTGACCATTATGCTAAGTCTTAACTTCATTGTAATTATACCTTTCTTTTTATATGCAGTCATTTTGAATTATAAAAATATTTAATTCATTCTCATGAAAACTATATAAATTTCATGAGAATACAATAATAAAAAGCCTTTCAAAACTGATTCTCAATAAAATTATAAAAGTAATTAATATTGAATTATAAATATAATAGTTTTCAAATTGATACTGATTCATTGCTTATTAAAATTTTATATGGTAACTAAGAACAGAGAGTTTTGTAATAAGAATCACTTGAGAGGACTACAGACATTTCGTTTTTTAGTATCCAATCTTTATTAGTTGAGAAGGCGTATTAATAACAGACTATATGATAAAGTTCTTTCTATCAATATTTTATCAAAACAATACGTATAGTATGTGTTCTTTTTTTATAATGAGAGAAAGCATGTTTATTTATTCTAACAGTTCTATTTTTGTTGCTTGGTTGTTTTTGTTTAGCAACATATCAACACCTCTATGGGTTATTTAATGCTGAAATCTAAATATTTTATATGTAATTTTATTTTGTTTTTGCACATAATGATTTAGTGATACAAGTCTTACTAATTAACCCATAGCTGGAGGAGATGAAGTGGATTCACATCTTTCCCGAGGGTATTTGTATGAAAGTGAATATGACAAACCGAACTGGAACTTGGCTCTCTGATTAAAAACTCCAAGCCATTATCCATTACACCACCTGCAAATCCAAGCTTATAGCACCTGGTATTCCCAAGTGGTCACCCATCTAGGTAATGACTAGACTTGATATTGCTTAACTTCAGAGATCATATGGGAGGTGGTGTTTCAGTGTGATGTGGCCATAAGCCCAAATTCTATTTAGTCCCAATATAGAACATTTCATGTTCCTAAAATTTTCATACTAAAAATTATTACAGGCTCCAGTAGATATAGAAAAAAAAAAAAAAAAACTTTAAGACTACAGTTTGTGTTGATTATCGGATCGACACAACTACAATGAAAGCTGGAATATAATCAATATACACACACAAGTTTCTGGTTCTCAAGATCCATATTTTCAACACTAAGTCAATACCAACAACCACCTACCATATTCAGCCTCCACATCCTAAAGGCACATGCATTCATTATAACTCACTGAAATAGATGAGTGAACTACAGTAAGATAAACTGAGAAATTCCTTTATATTTTTAATGAAAATTGATATAACAGAATTGTACCACAGGGTTGTAATCATGGTGTTCTATGCTACATATATAGTTTTGAAATTCATGGTTGTAACCATGTATGATTAATGAATTTACAATTAAAATGGTAATAATACTATATTGTTTTCCGAGTTCGTCCCACATTGTATAAGTTTTTTTTTCATTAACAACTCTTTTCAATATAACTGTAGTATTACAAAAAGCGATTATCTCCCTTCACTTGAGATGAAGTCACAAGAGTCGCATGACAGCCACTTAGTGATGTCAGTTCATAGAGTGACAAAAGCAGTAAATCGAAGTCAAAACAGGCCAGGCTAAATCTGCCTATCCAGGGCAACTCACAAGCCCATAAGCCCATAGCACCGTTTTCCTATTGGAAAAAATATGTCTTCAGCAGAGACATATAGAAACTATGTCCAGCTTGCAGTTTTCCTGTTGGAAAATATCCATGACTTGTCGTTTTTCTCTTTGGAAAATATGTCTTCACCAGAGACATAGAAGATAAATCTGGCCCATTTGAATTCCCATTGAGAAATAGAAATATGACTTTGAAAAATATAGAAGACTCTTCCAACAGCTTCAATGCCTGTTGGGAATTATTACAAGTAAAACCCTTTATCTCTTTGCCATTAGCACACTGGTGGTTGCTGTATACATGTTTTATAATTTCTCTGTATGGGACAAGTATTTGTATATAATTTTCTGTATGACTTAGCAATACAAAAATCTGAGAACAAAACATGTTTGTCATTTCTTTCCTTTCAGCTATTCTATTCTGTTCATGTATTAAGGTATTATTATATCATGGATATAATAATGCCCATAATGGAAGAAATATAAATAGTAATCATATTTTTCTTTTTTTTTTCATGCATTTTTGTTGTTCAAACTGCAATATGTTTTCTGCAATAATAAATATTACATATTACCATTCTATTTTATATATTTTTCTATTCTATTTGCAGTTTTATAAGACAATAATCTTATGATCTAGCCAATAAGATTCCAAATACAAAGTGACTTTTAGCTGCTGATGTGTTAAAATATCATTTCCACATAAACTGATTTCTCATTAGGAAACATTGTTATTTTAGGAGAAAAAAACTCAAGAAAATAAAACTGAATTTTGTAAGAAGTCATGCACAAAAATATAAAAATTTCCAATAGTTTCAGCCAATACACAGGCTGATATAACCATTCAAAACTCAATAAATCAATCGAGGTCATCATTTATAATCAGAGTTAGGCTGAATGAAAAATAATAACATTAACACAGAACTTATGATTAAGAAAGAAAATTGTAAATCATTGGAAGGAAAGAGGAAGAAAATTGTGTTCCAATTGTGATTTTGTCAATATGCATGAAACAGTCATGAAATTGGACAATAAATGTAGAAGTTTTTTCATATGAAAGAAAAATTCAGTTTTTAACCATGGAACTTATTTTAATCAGACACCAATATGTTACATTATGAAGAAAATTCAATATCTACTTTTACTTAACTCTTCATAGATATTCCTTCAGCATACAATTAAGTAATTGAAATTATATATGTATCAATAAGTAATGAATCAAGACTGAGTGAGTCAAGAATAACTGATATATTTCATAGGATAAAGCACTAACGCTGTAAAATTTTAGTAAACTGCCTAAAATAAAAAGTAATTTTTTCAAAAGTTTTGTATATTAATGATATAATATATTTCTTTTTTTACTTTTTTAACAAAACTAAAAAAATATATTCGTTGCACTTCAAACTAGAATATGAGTAAAATGTCAACTATTTCCTGTGTAAATCCTTTTATGAAATAAGTAAAATAATAAAAATAAATAAAAGATTGTAATTGTCACCTTTCCCTTACTGGGGAAAGGGTATGCACAGTTAATATTTTTAAAAATTAAACACATTTTCTGCTAAATGAATTCTGTACAACAGTTTGAATTAAAATTCCTTGTTATTTCAAAAGGAATTAAATCAATTTTTCTTTTATAATAGAACATTGACAAGAAAAAAACTCTTGTCTCATTTGCACGTAATCACTTCAAGAAGATATAATTTTAAACAAACGTAACAACTTGTTAGGATGTGTGAGTAAACATAATAGTTATCAGCTCAGAAAGTGAATAGTGAGCCAAATTCAAATTCTTGCCTGGTCTATTGTGTTCACTTTCACACAACTACCCTTCTCTCTCCAACTATGGGTTAAATAGCAAGGTAGACAACTCTTGAGCTTTGGGTGGCAGATAGTCTAGGAGAAGGACAACTGTGAATTTAAAACATTGGAGAAAGCAATGGAAAATCCCTACACTATCTTTTCCAATGGATTTTGTGAAGAGCCATAATCACCTACATACATCCTGAAGAGATATGGCATATGAAAAAAAACAAACAAAAATCATATCTGTCTTTGTAAACTGTACAAAAGCAAACATTAATCTGCTTAAAATTTTCTTAAATTAGGAGAAGAGTTAATAAAGCTTAGTACATGATGTTTTTATGTAACTGGACTAATCAAGAATAAAAATGAAAAATAATGTACACATGTCCAAAAACTAAGTTTCAGTTACTTCTTAAGATATATTTCTTACTATTTTGATTTCTGTAAACTTAGTAAGACTAAGACAATATGTATATTTTGAAGAATCTTAAAGCTAGGTCACAAAACCTTCAAAATTATGTATATAAACCTTCATTAAAAATTCTTCATGAATAGTCCTTTCTAAAGAAAAAAAAAAAGATCCGAGAAACAAAACTGTATTGATATTTTTAAGAGAGAAAATAAGAAATATGCAAAGAAACAAGATTCTTATTTACAAATGCAAACTACTAATGGTTATTAGAAACAAAAAAGGAAATTTTAATTTATGAAAACAATTAAACAACATTATTTTCAAGCTAGCACAAAGAGACTTTAAAAAGTTAATGCAAAAAAGCAGTCACAATAAATAATAGTAATAATAATAATAATAATATAAAGGGTTAAATGACAGAATTTTTATATCTGGATCTATGAATGCCTTAAGATGTTCAATTTTAATGAAAAAGTAAAAAAATTAATGGCATGAAATACTAAAGGGTGTACTTTACAGCCAATAGAGATATCAAAAGCCACTCTCAGTCTCTACAGTAAAAATGGATACCAAAATTTCAGCAACTTTATTTAAAATCTTAATAAAGAACTAAAAAGAAGTAGAAATGTTGATTAAAAATAGTTCAAAACTACAGTGGTGACAAAAGATAATTTGTTATAGGACAATTACTAGAGAAAACCCATAACAGATGGAATGAAACTACCAGAGAACAAAATGATCATGGCATTAAAAACCAAGAGCTGCAATAAAACTGGAAAAAAATTAAAGAAAAAAAGGAAAAAGAAAAATCTTAGAAGGGAAAGAAACATTTTGGAAACAAAGCTAAACAGCAAAAATATAATAAGTTTCTGAAAATGTGGGCACCAAACTCTTCCTAAGCCAAACAAAAGGATTGATAGAACAGAAAGTTACTGACAATGCACCCTGCAGCTATGGTACTGACAGACAATATGTAAATAGAAAAAGTGACAGAAGACAAGATATATCATAAAATTAGCAAGATGGAATTGACCAAATACACACAATAGTTGAAAATATCCAAAAAACTCCTTGAAAAAAAAATAAATAAATAAAAAATAAACATTTTTACCAAGCAGTCTATGAAGTAGAATTTTTAAACCTTTTTCCAAAACAGAAAATTAATCTGGAATAGAAATGAAAGCAGTGATGGCATGTGAATAATTGAATCCAAAAAGTCAGTATGGGCTCCCAAGAAGAGAGTGATAACACTAATAGTTAATAATAGACTTAAGATACCTATTTTCCTGAAAGACTATATTTTTAAAAGAAAGATTTTATAAATTTCAACCGACAGTTATGCTAAAACTGTTCAACCAATGAGTGTTGAATGTTTCCTTATAAAGGTGGCAGCTTATTTCACCATTACACCTGATCGTTAGCCATGCTAGCTGACCACAGGGTGAAGTTGGGAAAATATTAGAACTCGGGGGACAAAAAAAAAAAAAATATATATGAAGATGAAGGTCATGACCATAAGTAACACATTTTAGAGTTGTATCAAAAACACTAAATTGTGATTTATATCATCAGCCGAGGAAAGAAGGAAAAAAAAAAACAATGTTGCTGAAGTTTGCAAAGATACTGAGAAAAGGTGCTCAAGATTTGTTGAGGAGACTTGTTTGTCACTCATTTTCCACGAAATCACTAAAAAAAAAATTAAAAAATCAGCATATGGTGATTAAACATGCTCAAAAAACGTAATGAAATTTTTATCGTCAAAATCTTTAAGAGGAACGATCAAAGTATTTTTTGAATTGATTTTTTTACTACTTTTTAGAAAATATTCGAAATTTTGATTAAAAATCTTGCAAAAGTCCAATAATTGTTGGATTTTAAATTAAATTTTCAGGACTTATTCACAAAAATGAATGAAATTATTATTTTTTATGTTTCACACCTTTTTAACTTAATTAGTTGAAAACTTGAAATTCAATGTGATAATTTTTTTAGCGACTAAAAGTATAATTCTTTGGAGAATAAATCACCAATTTTATTTTATTTTTATTTTTTATGAATAAGGG